GTATGTAGTGTGTGTNATAGTANATATATATATATATATATATATATATATATATATATATATATATATATATATATATATATATATATATATATTATATATAGATAATATATATAATATATTATATATAGATATATTATATATAGATATATATATATATATATATATATTTATATATATATATATACATCTATATATATAATATACATATACGGGGATTAGCAGAGGTTGTACACGTAATGCTGTTTGCCTCAAGTATTATTTTATGTGTATTTGGCCAGGGTCATTCTGAGTTCTTGTGTTTCGTAAATGGGATATACACCGATGTAGCAGCTTAACTTCCTTATATGAGAAGTGAATTTGGCTCCTCTATCGATCTAGATCATGCTGGTACGTAGTGCATAAGACGAGACTAAGAATTCCAAGGTGTAATTACATGTGTGGTTTTAACATAAAATTTGCAATACCTACAACGTAGTGGTTTGACGTATTTGTCCGTACACGTTTGCATATCTTACCAAACGCCGACACCACCTGATTAGACCAAAAGAACCCATTCGCAATACTGCAGCATCTCGGTGTCGTGTTTGGCAGTGAACAACTATAGTGTTGCAAATCTTTTTAAATACAAAATACCGTATTCACAGCTCTCGTGGGCCTTATGGCAACTGTATCACTACATCGATGTGGTGCCCCAGTTTATCCGATGGAATGTGTCGGAAGCACTCGCCCTGGTGGACGCGTTGGTCTACGGGTATTTGCATAAGTTCGACAAATGGCTGACCGCGTTCACAACCGACTTTTTCTTACAGTACAGGGTATGTAGTATCCTCTCATGCCCCCCTTCGGTTTGCACTGCTTTGACCTATATGCTACTACAGTGTATTTAGAATATAGTGGCAATGTTGATCGTATCATTGGAGATATAGATAGTCGTTCAGGCGATCACTTTGGCTCCTCTTTATTTCGAATCCTTTCGGAGATATACAAACACACATCCGGGCAGATATTGTGCTGTCTATAGTCTACGTTTCCGCATTACCTTAACCCTTTCGCATATTTATCTATCAACTCAGCCGCTATATGTCATTGCTGTGCCGCTGATCAATCGGATTTACTCCCCCTTGCGGACATGCTGGTTTGCGGTAAAGAGGTCAGTACTTTATCTAGCATATTTGGCGTGTGAAAAATAGCATGCTCGGGCTTTTACTGCAACTTCATCTGTCACTTCACAGGTTTGGTGTATCTGTCACTGTGTCAAATGATATTCAAAGTCCGTATTGGTTGCCTAGATCTTTTTTTCTCCACAGCTTGCGAGTTCTCATATTTAGTGTGTACACCAGCTTCAAGTGTAACTGTCACTGCTATCTGATTATATATATATGTGTGTGTGTGTGTGTGTGTGTGTGTGTGTTAGCTCCTCCTATCATGTTTGCGTGCGCAAGTTCTATTTTAATCCTCTTTATGCTATTTCCAATTCAACAGCTTCTTTGATTTAGGATTGTATGCGTCATTCTCACGATTACGGACCGCAATTTGGGCTTTCTGTTCCATCGGCATGGTAAGTGTGGACGATGCCTTCCAGTCATATTATTATATGAATTCACTGTTTCTTCCGGTTATAAGTGCAACTTTATGCCGGATCATCTGATTTGCTACAGCCATTCACGTAGTTTTATGTATTTTACTATTTATGCTTTTTCGGCATGGGTCGCATCCGTAATTGCCAAAAAATAGATGGAAGAAAAGATTCTGCGAGGTAGTTATAGTAGTTTTCAAGCCCTATAGCTTAGCCAATTTCAATACTTGCAGCGCACAAGTCCTCTTACATGATCCATGCGCCTTTATTTGTGCCTTTGGCAGATGGCCGCGATCAGATATTACAAGCCAGATATGTGTCGTACCTCACGTAAACTTCGCTGTTTCTATCCGAGTTGAAACTTGTGCTTTCATTAAAATATATATTTCAAAATCTCCTGGTACATTCTAGGGACCAATCTTCTACTTACTGGATCTGGTCAAAACCTTGCTGACGCCGTTTCTCACTATTTTTGGAATGATTATGGCGCCGCTCAACAGAGCTGCGCAGTACTCGTTTGTTACGGAAACGGAACGCATGACTAAGATTTGGCGTGTGATTTCATCTCAGGTATACTTCTACTCACACATCTTGCAATTTGCTCGTATTGTATTCTCGGGGCGGATGCAGTGTATCCATGGCTGAGTAGTGCCCTTCTGTGTCAGTGTTCGGGTGTCTCATACTGATGGCGCTGCATTGAATATCGAAAGGAGTCTTCTCAGCCGGAGTAGTGATCGTCCTACTATTGGATTGTCGAGAGACGATTCTCTACAGAAACATGCATCGTATACTAACCATGTGTTTTGATCGTTCTACATAGGCTCAAATCGTCATATATGCGGTCCCCAATCTTCTCAAAAGGATCTTCAATACTATCTTACGGAAGCAGGTGTGCCAAAATTCGCTTCTAATTGCAAAAAGCTGACAATTACTTCTGTGCGTCTAACTTTTTCTCTAAAGTACAATTGATGGTGTTCTGCCTAGTATCTTTTCTTACGGTATATATCTATGCCACACTCCAAATGATATGAAGGTTGAGGTTGGAGACATAGACCACATGGATCCCCTGCTGAAGAAGTTGCTGGAGAATGACCTGCCCCACAAACGGAGTAGCACTCCAGATGGCCGGCACCTCCAGACGCCTGATAACTTAGACGCGGATATGGGCAAACGGGTACCCACGTACCCTACGGTGCGTGTGTGCTGGATTTCAGGTTTAATATTGTTTGCGATGTCTCGAGTCATGACGATAGTGATGAAGCCTGCCGTATTGGTTACAGTGTAGTGGTGTATGTTGTATTATGCGTCGACCACATCTGTCCTTTGCATTGTTCCCGTCATGCTGGCTGCGTCATTTAGAAGGTAGGACTACATACTGTACAGCCCCGTGAGATGCTTTCCATCAAATATCCAATACCCGTCTTATTTCGACAAATCCTATAGCTATTATGATTTGTCAGTATACCTGGACTAAATGCAGACGTAAAAGATGGCCTTTTCCTCACAATGATCTGTAAATTGAAGGCATTTGCAATATTTTTTTATGGTTAATACTCGCGCAAATTCCAATTCAACTGACTTGTTCCCCCTCATTTTCTGCGCTCTTTTTCAGTTGGCCTCCAGTAACCCATCAGACCAGTACTCAGACACCGGCTACAGCTCAGCGAGCTCGAGAAGTAGTATAAGTGGTCTGGGAAGTTCTTCCTATGGTACCAATGGTACCAGTCTGCACAGACGGAACATCATGAGCAACATTGCAATACGCAATGCAAACTCGCCTCGCCGCAGTCCCTTCGGCAGCCCCAAACCGAGGCATCACAGTCGGTCGCAGAGGAAAGCGACAGTCTATGCTGCAAATGAATCGAATACAAAATTCGCGGCAAATGATATGGAGAGTGGCTCGTGACAGTACTGATGCTAGCTGCACTCGTACTGGTGAACTAGGGGATGGTTATCTGTGCATGTGTGACTTGTTTGACAGCCCGGTGTCTTCTCGTACTCCACTCGTTTTGAGACCTCATGACATATTGCGTTTCTGCAGTGGAGCCACGAGTCGTATTACTTCCTAGAAATGCGCATCGCAAAGCGGCTGGGATCGGGCACCGCCACTCTACAGCTTCTTGCCGTTGGTTTGCCAAAGATAGTCAGAATACTGGATCAAATGGATGTAGAATATATTGACCTCCTATTCATAAGTATGCTTGCGTCAAGGCCCAGCAGCCCGTACCTTGAGTGCCCGCTGCAGGTCGGAACCACAGTACAATTTGTACTAACAGGTGCAGGTGCATCTACAATACAATACCTGATGTGACTGCTGGATGCCCAATATTCACTATGCTGTTGTACGGTTAGAGTGAGTGGACCAGATATAGTAAGCTGGTCTTGCAAGTGGTGGCTATATCCGAGCTAGGTTGGGACTAAAACCCAGTCTGGTATCAAATGATTCGCTTATGTTTATCAACCATGTGGGGCTGAGAAACCACAGCCACGTAGTATTCTGGTGCGATACGGTATGTCCAAGAAGATACTCGTATACACTCACAATCAGCACGGCCAAGAATGCTTCCGACTATGTCCAAATATGGTCCATCGATATCAATGATGTGCAAGGGGGGGGGTTTTTTTTTTCAAAGAACCCGCCGCTAGCAACTCGCGTTCATGAGCATACGTGCCATGTAGTTATACAGAACGCGTACTGGATACCATACGCAATGGAGTGGATTTCCCGGTGGAGTAAGTCTGTGACTTCGCGCCGGGAACGAGTTTTGGTATTACCGGAGCGTAGGTTCCACACTGTCTGGGTTCAGTTTATGTAACCGAATACCCTTCAAATCAATCTTAGATATTCCACATGTATATGCATCCTCTCTAAGCTCTTCAATTGTGAGGTTTTTCTCCGGATTTTTCACCTTGCCCCAAGGAAGTTGACTTATGGACAATGCCCTGCCATTGCTATTTGTTTGGGAACCTATGGAACGGGAATAGAGTTTTGTACGCACTCATCTTCGCAAGGAGTATCTTGGTGAGCGTTGATAAACGTGCTAATAAAGTAAATTACAGTCCGATATTAGTCACTTCCTACTATGACATCGAATTAAACTTGATCAGTGAGATACGAAACCTCCCTGGCGCGTACAATAATTGCTTTTGCGGAGTGTTGCAATTCCACCCTGGTCGCTTTGCCAAGCGTGAGCTTCCTTTCTTGATCCTTACTTCCACTTCAACTCTCGAATATAATACGACCGAATCACCACCGTTTCTTATGATGCCAAGTAATTCACACTCGAAATCGTTGTGGTTTATAATATCCCTGGTGAATATAGCACACTGGCCGCGATGCTCGCACCAAGCTCAACGTACAGACCACGATCCGAGTGTTACGGCGGTAACTATAGTGGGTAGGCGTACAAATGATGGCCTCCTGCTCGCAACAGGTAATTGTATTCTCGCAGCAGGTACATCTGATTCCGAAACAGGTATGCCTAATATGTATCAAAAATTATTCCCCGTTCGTATTCAAATGAAGCTGTACCGTTGTTGTTCACTGAGCTTTAAAGTGGGCGCTGAGTACCCCGCCACGTGATGTCGAAATCATCTACTTCTGCGCTACATTGGTAATTTATATTTTAATTGACATTGCGCCAATTGCTAGTATTGGAGAAAATGTGTGGTGTATGGCTACACACATTTGTATTCGAGATAGTGTTGACCCCGTGTACATAGTCTATTCCTGTACAACCTTTACTTAACTCTAGCAGAAGACACAACAGAAGAAAAAATTCCAAAACCAAGGGCCTATTATTAACTTCAGATGTCCCAGGCAGGTCCTTTCCTCACCTCCGTCGGCATTATGAAATACCAACCCATTTGTAGAATCCGAGATAGCTCTCGGACTTTGGCCCTGGTTAATGTAATAGCATAAACTCTTTCCTGACATTCATTGGTACACTACCTTACGTAGTTTGAAATCGGAAGAATATTTCCAGACAGCTTAAGTTGAACACAACCCCAGTACAGCTTAATTCAACTTAGAGATGGGCCATAACTTACGGCTAGCACTCATAGAAGTTCATCAGTGCACAACTTCATAGTGATCGCTGGATACTGTTTTCCGATATCTGTGGCAAGCCATTGACTCCTACCTGAAGATTTAAGGTCGTCGTGAAGGTGCGCTTCCTAACTGAAGGGGTAATGCGATTTGGGACATATACACTACTAATTCGAGATCCCAGAGAAGACTACACTCTTAGTAGGGCTTTTATGTACCTTCACCTCCCCGCTTGCCTTATTGGTACTCGTTAGCAGCTTGGTTTTGCCATCTACCTTCACCAGCTGGTATGTGACATCCTTGTCAGTTGGCGACTGGACGTAATGGGCAAAGGGGAAGTCTTTAGCGAGCATGCAACAATCTAGTTGCTTATGTCTTGGGATCTGCATTTCCCACCTGTGATTCCAATTCGACAAGAAACATTTTGCCCCGCTATATCTGTTTCTGGGAATCTGCTCGTTGGGTCCGGGTAGTACAATACCCGCGTAGTAATACATTTTCGGCGGGAAGTACTCCTCCACTTTGTAGTTCTGTTCCCGACGTCCCCCGTCCATATTCACCTCATATATGACGCCGTTCTTCTCTTTGAAGGCGAACATATCTATAAACGGGGACGTCCATTGACGTTGGCTCTGTACTGATAATACATCTGTAACGGACAACTTCATCGCATCCCAATCCTTGTAGCAGGTAAGTTTAGCACCCTCGGGCATCGTAAATTTTTTACAAGCCATCAGGAACGCATCAACGTATTCCAATCCTATGAATACGTCTACATCATCGTCCCATGGTATAGGCCCTGCATGCAGCACAGCCCCCAAATGACTACCAGCGTGAAGGTACATAGGGGCATTGATTTTCTTAGCTATTGTGTGTGTGATATGCAACGCACAAGTGGATCTCATTGCGTAGTCTGTATTTTGAATAGGTGCTGGCGGGTCTTTACCTTCTTCCAGATCGGGTATAGTATCAAACGACGGGAACATTGTAAAGTGCTCAACGACACCTGGGCATAATTCGGCTACCCAGGGAAGCACGGTAGCCTGGTAATCCTTCGACATGTGATCGGCCAACAAACCTTTCGTTACATCATTTCCAGGATTTAAACATTTCTGATAGTCTGATTTGCTGTCTACTAACATATCTAGAAGTTCAAATTGCCACGAAAAGTCTTGTGCGCCACTGATCTCTTCGTCTTTCCGATTACCCAAATCACTCTTTACTATTTCCTCCTGCTTGATCACAACATTTTTTTCTATATCCTTCTGATTTCCCACATCACTCTTTTCCTTATCCGTAGTTCTCTTCGCAGAATTGGGTGTTGCACACTGTTCACATGGCTCACAGGCTTTACACTTAACTGACTCGTCACAGCCGACCTTCTCGCAGGCTTCACACTGCACTGGTTTGGGACAGACAACCTTCTTCGGACAGGAATCCATCGGTACGGCCGCTCCAATAGAATTTACATCCTTCATTGAGCAACGTACAACTTCGGCTGCCATGTCACGTGTCAGGTAATATGTGACTGGTACTGATAGAATAAGCATGTATATGATGCTCCATTGCGTTATACGATTCGCGACAGCCATGATATCTCAGTTGAATTCCGATTCCAAATACAGCTAAAAGCTTGACGCAACACAGTCGTTGTTGTTATATACAACGAACGACAAGTCTTTCGCTGTTTCAAACACGGTACAATAATACCTATATAGACAGAAAGAACGGGGAGATCAAGCGACCTAAAACCTAGTAAACAGTATATTATATCATGTGTACAGTGTACAGTGTACAGTGTACAGTGTACAGTGTACGCTCTCTTTATTTTATAAGTATAAATAATAAAATAAAGTGAAACAATATTTTGGATATATATTTTATTAGTGTAAATAAAATACTAGAGAGAGAGAAATAGTGAACTGACGAGACCATCACCGCACAGGCGCACACTGCGCACAGGCGCACACTGCGCACAGGGAGTCAGGGACACAGCTGATGACTTCTTTGAGACGGCTCCTCTTGTGGGAGCCTATGGGCTATGAGACTTTTATTATTATATGAGAGTCGGCTGTCGCTGACAGCTGTATTATTTTCTCAAAGCCGGTGATTCTTTGGCATCGCGGTCAGAAACAGTATCTATTTTTTTTTTGGAAATAAACAAACCCGGCCCTACTCTATAGTTTGTTTTTTAAAAATTAAATTAAATATAACAATGTAAAAAGTTACTCATAAAAAAAGCACCCAAAACAGGGAGGGGGACACCGGGGACCGAGGTCCAGGAGTAAGAGAATGAGACATTTTTATTTTAAGAAACAGAAAAAGAATGCCTTCGCCCTTCGGACTTCGGTTCGATGCTGGATTGTTGGCATCGATAAATTGTTGATTGAACCGTCAGAAGGGTACAGTTCGGTACTGAGACCAGGTACCGAACAACAAAGGTCTACCACATGGAGTGGTTCAAGAGATGTTGTCAAAGCGACTTGTGTACTGATAGAGTTGACCAGGTGGAGCTGATATGACAGGGTGTTTAAGTATGAGGATACCAGGGTTGGGTAATCACTAGACATGGATAAGAAGTCGGCTTAGATAGAAATGTGCCAAGTGAGGCCACAGGACATGCAGGATAGAGGCGTACAGGCGCTATACGTATACACAGCATAGTAGGATAGTTCGAGCATAAATGCTGAAAGAGCTCGAAAATGATCTAATAAACTTTTTGCTTCAACCGCTGCCTCGATCCTACACCAATCCGGCTCTGTGCTATGATTATAACGAATACGTACACGTTCGCATTGATCGACTAGCGCACCGACGGCTGTCTCTGCCCTGTCTGCCCCGGTAGCCACAAGTTCACCATCAGCCACTTTACCTGCATCCAACAACTGATTCGACGCATCCTGGTGGGCCCGAAACTGCCGCCCATTTCAGGCCCTGACCTCCACCAGCAATTATAGAGGTGCACGACTTCCACGGTATCTGGACCCTCCACGAACAACTTGGATTCCGATCCAGGCCAGCCAGCACATACCGAAGCATCCGGGGTCTGGTTGTAATAAGCCGGGCCTCCATATTAGACTCTATGTATAAACATACCCTTAAGCAGTACGCAAATTATAAACATACTCTTAATAGC